TATATATATATATATATATATAATATATATATATATATATATATATATATATATATATATATATATATGTATGCATGTATGTATATTATATAGATGCATGTATCACGTGTACGTGTGTGTATATGTTTTGCATGTGAGTTTTATTTTGTTGTTTATTTTCGACGAACGAGAGTTCATTCACCAACCCATTGGGTGAACGCACGCATTATTGGGCTTTATTCATTTTAATTTTTATTTTTGTCACACTTCGTTATCACTATTCAACAAATTTCAACGTTTGTTTTACCATCGATATTCAATTCGTATCGAAGATAAAGAGAAAGAAATTGATTTTCGTTAGCCAACTTGAGAACGAAGAAAATATCATTCTACCGGTATCCATTTATCATTCCTCCATATTGGAAATGAAAAAATACAAAAAAACAAAAAGGATTAAACGAGTTACTACTCGAAATCGAAATCATTTTTCTTATTTTTTTTTTTGTTTTGTTTTCATTTCACAGAGAGAGTTCCCTTCTTCTTCTCGCGATATTAGAAAGAGAACAATGACATATTTTTTGTTTCTCTTTCTTACACAATTATATTTTTCTTATTTTCTTCAAAAGTTTTTACACGAAGAAAAACAAAAAACAAAACAAAACGAAGCTCGATTCTCGATGCAAACAAATCTTCAAAATCCTCTTCTTTTTATTTTTTTTTTGCTTTATTTTCTTTCATTTCTATTTTCATGCACACATACATATATGTATGTATGTATTGATCATTCCAACGGTTTTTGATGATATACGCGTGCGAGATTAATAAATCTTTGATATAATCAATCGTTTGACTTTATGTAGGTTATGTTTATTTGTTGTCTCTTCTACATTTTGTAGGTTCATCCTCTTGGTGATTCTTTGTGCGTACTGCGAAATCGAAGACCCGCTTGCTCATTCGCGTCTTCATCTTTATCATCATCATTATCATCTTTATCATTATCATTATCATTAACATCATGATCATCATCATCATCATCATCATTATTACCACCATCATCATTATTACTATTATAATTATTATTATCATTAACCTCGTCAACGTCTGTCTCGTGATTGTTATTCATATTTTTATTCGTATGATCAAAAAACGATTGAGACTTCTTGACGAGTAATGTATGTTGCTCATGGCAAATAATTTTTCTCTAGGTTTCCAAACCCGGTACGAGGCTGTGGAAAGTTTGGATGTCGTGGAAAGCTCTTCCGCAGCTTTGATTATTGTTCCTTTCGAATTTGGCTAAATCAAAATGTTCATCTAGCGATTGCAATTCGACCAATCGTTCTTCCAACGTTTTAGCTGAATCCGCAAACCTTGCAAAGTCGCAAATCCTATCGGGATCAACAACATCGCCAACTTCCATCATGCTAACGTCCGTAGATCTGTTTGCTGATAATTGTGTACTAGGATCGTCTAAGTCTGTTGAGAAGAAACCAGAATTGTTGCAGTTATGAACGTTCGCAGTTATCGTCGTCGTTGATGTTGGCGATGCTACGGCAACTGGTATCGTTGGTGACGTTGTTGTCGTTGACGTTACGTTCGTCGTTGAGGTAGGATCGATCAGATGCGTTGGATCACTTACGTCAATTGTAGTACCACCTAAACGATCTTCCGTATAAACCAAATGATGATGAGCCGATTCAGCATCGTGAACATCGTCAATGTGTGATAATAATCTTGGGGTTGGTGGTAGGATGTAAAAGTCACTGAATACGTCATCTTGCAAATCCAAATCGTCGTGCCTTTGACGTTTCGTACTGAGACCTTCGTTCCTAATATCATCTGCTAGCCTGTAAAAATACAAAACAAGTCATACTTTTAATTTTATCATTTACATTTTTTTTTGTTTTGTAACATTATTAATTTGACATCAATTAAAGTAATTATTATTATTATCGTTTGCTCACCTTTTTCTTGAGGAATTGTCATCGTCAACGATAAGATTACTAGAAACGTTATTCTCCTTCGTCGAGTCATTCAAATACGTGACCACCGGAAGTCCATAGTTCCTAGTCTTCTCGTCCCGGTTTTCACGCTGCAATCGTCTAACTGCGTTGTTTATTAACACAGATCTGCACAAACTAGCCTCAGGATCTTCAATTCTACGTAATTTTCCTGCCGAGATTTTGAGAAGTCTACGACGTTCTTCTCTCGCACGATATTTTGCCGAAATCATCGTGGGTCTGCTCCTACGAATCACTAAATCTTCTTCCAATCTCATCTTAGCTTCTGTAAAAAAAAAAAAAACAGATAAATATACATTAGTTAACAATTTTTATAGATCGTTACAAAAGTTATTATTGACAAGAATAATAATATTTTTACGACATACGAGAGAGTGTCAAGGAGCAACAACATAATTTCTTATTTTCGAAGAGAAGGAAGTTAGGTTAGAAAAATAATAAAATAAAATAAAATAAAATAACATCCAAGTTCACCTGGAGGTGAACCTAATTAGGTGTGCTTAATTTTGTTTTTATGTCACATATATATATTTAATGAATTCCTTCTTCTAAAGTAATATTTTTAATAACAAATGTATATTTGTATTTTAAAATTTGTTTCATAAATTGTTTCAAGTTTAGAAAATTTTTTTGAAATACAAAAATCTCGGTTAAGTTAATTATAATAATAATATTAAAAATAAATTTGAGAGAGAGAGAGAGAGAGGAGTTTGATATAAGCAACACAAGTGATTATAAATTCTTACAAAGGTAGACTACTCTCTCTGACTAAAACTACTACTACTACAACTACAACATCGTCGATAACGATGAAGGAAGGTGTCTTTTTCTTTCTTTTTTTTTTTTTTCTTTCTTTCCTTCTATTGTCAACGACTGACCCAGATATTCTCTCGTTTCCTTTTTTTTTCCAAACAAAACGCAATCAAATTGAAGCTATATATATAATGGAGAACACATATCTTTCTCTTTTTTCGAAATACGCCGCCATGTTGTTGTTTGTATGTTCCCGCGCATTTAGTTGATCAATCAAGAAAATGATATGAAACACCACGAAAATATCAAGACGAGAATAACGATGAAGATGAGATGCATGTTCTCGCAGAATATTATTCGTTTCAAGGTCGACAAAATTATCTTTAGTTGGTGATATACAAAAGCAATGTGTTCCCCACTCCCGAAGCTTTCGTAAAAAGGTTATTTAATAAATTCAATATGGCCGTCGTATAGATAAAAAGAAAACAACACAAATTTATCGTTTGGACGATAAACTTAATTCTTTTTTTTTTTTTTTTTTTGTTCTTTTCTTTTCACACCAGTATTTATATATAATTCATGTGTTTTTTTCTTTTTTTTTCTTTTAGTGTGGTTTTTATAGAATATTTTAAAATTATTTAAAATATTTATATACAGATGCATAATATTGTAATAAATATTATTATGTGAGAAGAACGTTCGATAAAATATCAAAATGTCAACGAGAAGTTAATGTTAACGAGATATTGTTCTTTATATATATATATATATATATACATTCTGGAAACTGTAAATAAAGTTACTGTAAAGTTTTCTCTTCTCTTTGCGTAATAACCTATTACACATATACAAACGTAAAAGTCGTATAATTTTCTCAACGTTTCTTATATAAATAGAAAAAAAAAAGGGAACCCCCACAGGATATAAATTATAAATTATCTTTTACATATTAGAGAGTTCAATTATGCGAATTCTAGAAGGAAAAACGTCACACACACACACACACATCATCATCATCATCATCATCATACGTAGGAAAAATAATCTTCCCGTTGGATAATAATTTCAATCTAATGTTTGAAAGAAAATGATAGAGAAAGACAATAATAATAATATTATCCAGCGTGCCGATCCATAAAGGAAAAAAGGAAAAAAACCTTTTTTTTTTTACATATTCCCTAGTTTTTCGACGACTGTAAAACTTGTACTTTAAATGCGTCACGATTGAATCATACGGTTGCTATGAAAATGACGTGTAATAGACAGCAGTCTCACAATCACCTCTCTCTCTCTCTCTCTACTTTAGCAAAGTATAATACTGCACCCAGGTTTGCTGGGTTTTTCTTTTGTTTTTTTTTTTTTTTTTTAAGCGGATCTCATTGCTCTCTACTTATTCATTTATTTCTTTTTTTTTTTCTTTCATGTATATATACCATTCCGTTATACGACGTAATATGCGCTTACAATTTTGTGATATGCACAAAACAAGTATTATATATATATATATATATATATATATATATAAATTATTGTGTTGTTTGGAAAGTAATTTTTCGTTTGATTTTTAATAAAAATAAAGACAATTTTTGTATCCTAACCTAGAAACCTAAAACCAATTAAGTGAAACATAAACAGTTGAATTTGATAAATTTAACCTCACACCAATTTCACGTGTCGTTATTTGTCATTTTGCATCAATTAATGTTTTTTTTTTTTTATAGTGTCAGTGAAAAAAAGGAAATTACTTTCCGAACAACTTAATATAATTTTGTAATATTATTTCAAATGTATAATTTTTTTTGTTTTATATATATATATATATATATATTAATATATTTATTAATTAAAATCTATTAAATTAGAATTTTTATTTTAAGTTTAATAAGTAATCGCAAAAAAAAAAAATAAAATAAAATAATTTTATTTTATTTGTAAAAATAATTTACAAACTTTTAGCGAAATCCATTATTACAGTAATTCAATAATATTATATAATAATACTAATAATAAAATTAATAATAAATATTAAATTGTTATTTTAATATTTTATTTTATTTATTTTATTTATTATTATTACGAATGTTTTTGAATTATATTTTGTTGTTATTTTATTTAAATGACAATTTTAATTCTCAATTATGAAATGTAATTTTATTCTCTTGTTTCTTTCACATATGTGTAATGGCCGATGAAAAATGCATTAAATTACCATAAAGATGTGTTTTACAAAAGTTGCAAGGTCAACGACAACGGACAAAGATACGTCAAATATGAAATTGTTCTTCTTTGTAACCTTCGGTCTCTCTCTCTCTCTCTCTCAGAAAAATGTTATAATTTTTATTTTCATAAATAAATCATTTTGGAATATAATTTCAAAGCAACATTAACCAAAGAGATTGGATTTCTTCGAACTGATTATCTCATCACTTTTCAAATAAATATTCTTCTTCTTCTTCTTATTCTTATTACATTCTTCAAACATCTATTTTTCACGCTTATTACTGAGTAATCGTTTTTTTAAGAAAGAAAAAATAAAAAACAAAAAACAAAGATATAATATTTATATTTCAAATTGTATCTGAAGAAAATTGTGCAATTGAACTTTGTTCCAAATTATTTCAATATAAAACTTTTCCGAACATAAATCAAATCCATTAATTAAACATTAATTAAATAATAACGATAATACAATTTGTTATACATTTTTTTTTTGGTCACGAGAATGTTTAAAAAAAAATAAGATACAAAAAATTACTGATCTTCGTAACATATTAGTTGTACAAGTTTAGTTACTCAATTTTCCTACAGATGGCTAATAAAAAAAAAAAAAAAACATGGCGGAAGCAAAATTGTACACCTGTTATGATTGTTTGTGACAAAAATCACATTTATATATATATATATATATATAAAAAAAAAAAGTAGGTTTAAATGTTCACGAACGTGACCACGTTTCTATTTATCAGTGTATATATGATATCTGTAAAAGTGTATATGTGTATATGAATGAATGTAAGGTGTGTATCTTTATCCTCTACGAGTGCTTTTTCTCATCGGCTTGGTAGGTAAACGTGTGTCGGTGTTTTTAGTAGAAAACGAGGACACGATTGTTTCGCATCGTTGCTTTTTTGGACGCAATTTGTGTTTCGTTTCCTGTTATAAAGGTAATTTTTCTTTTAAATCCCAATCACGAAAATACCGTAATACATAATTATGCATAAATGATTTCTATATATATATATGAGTTATAATATTGTGAAGTCAAAAATGTAGGGCGCCATTTAAAAAAAAAAAAAAAAAAAATTAACATTTTCAAACTGTTTTTTTATTCCAATGTACAGTCAATCATAAAAATAGTACAACTGTCGTTTAAAAATATTTTTTTGTTAGGTTATATTGCAAGAGTACTTGAAAAATGACATGAATACAATTATATGGGACCATCCTGTATATGTGTGTAATCGATTAGCAAATCATTGCTCGATTGATAAAACAGGAAATATTTTCTTGTATTTTTTTTTGGAATTTTTTACAAAAAAAAAAAAAGAAACACAACACATAAATATGTCAATCAGTAGTATTAAGAAGAAGAGAAGAATATATACATACGTGCAATTACACGATATGTAATATCAATATCTGTATATTATATGCAAATCAAAATGGCGGAGTAGTTGTATATATATATATATATATATATTATTTTTTCTTTTTTCATGCGACACAACGTATTATCTCTTTCGTGGTTTTACATTCCGTTAAATAGAAAGCTACTTACTACTAACTTGTGAAACGAGATACAATTATTATGCGACTTGGTTTTGGAATAGAAGAAGACGAACGATAAAAATAAAAAGAAAGAAAAAGAAAGGAAAAGAAAGAATTGAAAGGAAAGAAATAATACACACACACATATATATATGCATGTACATATATGTAAAAGTAAGTAGAAAGTAAGTACAAATCGTAGTGATTTCGGTGTGAAATCTGGTTGTCGGTATAGTAGAGTATCATCATGATCATTTTTTAAAAGAATAAGTAGAGTTGTTCCTTTTTTTTTTTTTTAAGTAGGTCAATTGTAGGTTAACTAATTAAATGGCTACAACAAACCAAGAGGGAGAGAATTAAATCGTTAAGCAAGCCGAAACACGTTAACTTACGTCTATTTATTTATCTATCCGTGCTTTGGGCTGACGCGTTTGTGATACCGGATGACAGGAATGATGCGAACTTATGTGTATGTATGTATGTATGTATATATGTATTTGTGTGTGTGCCTATCTTTCTGCTTAAGTAGTATATAAGTTAGTAAATGTAAGTGTGTGTGTTCTACTTTAAAAGAGATACAACACAACTACTTCACTATAATCATCATCATCATCATAGTACTACTACTTACTACTACTACTACTACTACTACTGTTTTTACGTATTTCGAAATATTTCGTCATTCGATGATTGTTCCGTTTTGATTAGCTCAAGAATAGAATAAAAGATTAAAATAAATCAAAA